CCCTCCCCCACAGCCTGACTCCCCTGAGAGCTCTCCCCAGCACCCCCCCCATCGGAATCTGCATTTTAACAAGATCCCTAGAGGATTCCCTTGCTTTGCAGTGTTAATTGCTTAGAAGCCCCATCCTGAGCTGACTTTCCCAACCTGAAGATTAAACACTGTCACTCTCTCTCTTCTAGATCAAAAAGAGCCAACTGCTCAGGCTTTAAAAATTCAGAGTTAAGAGCTTGGTAGAGGGGGGAGGGGCAAACTGGAGATGAAGAGCCCTAAGCTTTATACATTTTGCTTATTTTGTTTATTATCCCCCTCCCCCATTGGAGTGCAAGCTCTGTGAGGGCAGGGGTGTCTGTTTGTTTACTGCTGGAACCCTCGAACCCAGGGCAGTGACTGCTACATCGTAGGTGCTCAGGAAACATTTACTGAGTGACTAAGGTTACTAGGTTAGACATGTAATCTGAACTCCTGTGTCTTAACAGAGCGCCTCTGGAACAGTGCTGTTAGAATGACAGTGTACACAGAACTGTTTCTAGAAAGAGATGGGAAAATTTGAAGTGGCATATTTACCATGACATCTTCCATCTGCCTGTCTCTGGTTTCTGCCGAAACTTTGTTTTCTTGTCAGATTTTCTCTACAAATGCCTGCTTGACTTAGCCAGGTGCAAAGATTTCCTAAACAGCTGGATGCACGGAGAACACTCACTTCTCTGTCAGGGAAACCTCACTGCAGGGAACCTGCTGGGCCCATCCATCCATCCATCCATCACCCAGTTGGAGCCTTAGACCCGATTTCCCCAAGTGCTGGCCCCACTGCATCTTGAGTCAGTGTAGGGATTTTTCATTTTGACAGTAATCGAATTATAAAGCATTTCCTCCAGGAAGGTTAAATGAATGTCTCGAAGATCTCCTTCCGTCTGACTACAGAGGCTACACTTCTCTTCTTGCCTCTCTCCTTCCTTGGGCTTACTCTGTTCCTGCTTTATTCCTGTCTCAGTGCTTGCTTTTCACTCGTCTGCCTTTGCCCAAGGTTCAAATCTTACATCCCCCGCAGGATGGGCTTCATAGGGTTCTGGAATCACCCTGCCAGTGTACCTCTGACCTCTGTCCTAAGAATCCCAGGCACAGCTTCACACACTGCACTGTGGCCTTTTAAGCCCCACCCAAGAAGCCTGACGGGTTTGTTTACTCTGGAGACAGCCCAGCCTACCCCTCTTCCCTAGCTCTGCAGCGCCAAGAGCCTTTGGGTCGAGCGGGAGGCCAGACAGCACGCCAGTGACCTTTATGAGATGCGTCTGGCCTCCCTCTTGTCCTCGGATGCCTGTGCTGTTGTGACACGCTATCTGGGACAAGACCCGTGCTTACCTAGAACAATGGTTCTCAAACTTCAGGGTTCGTCAGAACCACCGGAATGGCTTGTTAAAACCCAAATTGCTGGGTCCCACCCCCAGGGGTTCTGATTCAGGAAGTCTAGGATGGCGCCCGGGAAAATAAAAGTTCCCAAGTGAGGCTGGGTCCTGGGACCCCACTCTGGGAACCACTGCCCTGGGGCCCAGCCTGGCTTGAAGCCATCCCCTCCGGCTGCCACCAGAGGGCACCTGCGGCCTTAGCCAGGGGTCCTTTCTCACCTCCGATGGCTGCACCGCTGCACAGCAGAGGTTCTCCCCTAAAGATTTCTTTCTGATTGTAATCTTTGTTATTATGTATTCGGAAGAAGAAATGTTGATCCAAAAAAGGAGGTAGGTTCTCAAAATCTGGGTCTGACAAGTATCAAAGGTCTGACGGACAAGGCTTTTGAAGGTGTTGAATAGCCCAGTTTTCGAGAACTGGAGCTCTGTACCCCTGAGAGGGGACCCTCCTCAGCACACTGACGTATGGACTTGCTTTCAGAACATCCTGCAATCATTCCTTATTCAGAACCCAAGGGGCCGTTAAGATTATAGGGGATTTTCATTTTCTTCTTTATACTTTATATTCCAAATTTTCTACAATAAATTTAGTATTACTTTTATAATAAAAAGCTTTTAAAAATACATTTTAAATGTAATTAAAAGCCAAAAAACAACTAAAAAAAAAAGCCAACAACAACCCAAGGGGGATCTTAGGGTGAGCAGCTTAGGGTAAAGAGAACCCCCAACTGGAACTTGCCCCCCTCTCCTCCTAGTTGGTTCTGCCCAGGTGTCTACCTGAGTGGGGGTTGGGGAGGGTGGAACCCAGGAGGCCATGTGCTCAGGGGGGCCCAACTGGGACCAAGGGATGACGTGTGAGGGCTCTGTCACCTCTGTAGTGGTCTGATGTCCACCCCAAGCACAGCCCTGGGTCCCAGTCAGTGCTGCTATTCTCAGGCTCCAGGGCCTCCCTGGGGCCAAGCAGATGGGAGCAGGCCAGAGATGTTAAAACATAGAGACTTTATGGCCCAGGGGTTCCTATTTAGTGGTCTGAAGACCTCTTTTGTCTGGCCTGCATAGAACTGAGTAAGTTTGAGCTAACATTTAAAAAAATTGGGAGGTTTCATACTATCCAGATTTTTTTGTTTTCTGCTGAAATATCGGAAGATCTGAAATCCTAGGGCCGGTGTCCCTCCCCATGCACTGTGGGGCTTGGGAGAAACAGGCCTCGGGTGTCAATCCTGGTTATTCATTATGATCACCTGGAGCTCTTAAAAATGCCCATCTCCAGGGCTGGCCCCCAAGGAGCCTGATTTAACAAGGCTGGGGAGCAAGAACTTGGTTGTGGT